GAGATCGGGACGATTTTGATGAAGTACTAAATCTAGTACATGTGACTTGGATATAAAAGGCTAAATTAGCTAAGCCCTTAAAATCGCGAAAATCGTCGATATTTTATATATCGAATTTCTTACATATATTACAGTCGTCCTCCCATACAATCACCTCCTATATAATCACACAATGTTTACGGTTGTTTTTTTAAATATTAAAAATACCTTTATATAATCACATTAATAGTATAATCACTATCACATTTTTTATAAAAATTTTTAAGCTAATTTATTAAAAAAAATACTTTTGTAGAATCACATTTTTTTAATTGGTTATAAATACATAATCGTGATTGGCTAACCAAAAATTACAAAAAAATTTACATGATATGTACAAGCGCCCTATTTAGAGATGAATTTATTTTACCTTAGATGATGCGTCTCGCACTTCATGCGAAGTCATATAATTTGTAGAATGTAAGCTAGTTTTATCTTGCATCTCTAACCTATTGCATCAAATTTGTTCACATTTATATTACGCTATACTGTTTATTATGTAAACAAGAAGTGGCTGCTATGCGTCATAGCTCTTATTCTAAGTCATGCCAGTAAAAATATTTATAAGTTTCTATGATTTCGATGATATTTATTATACGTCACCTAAAGTCATGAGACTTATTTACCACCAACCAATTCGCCAAAGGTTTCTTGCCGATCTGACATTCCAAAATTCTTTTTCAAATCGTTATTTCTCACCAAATAAACACAATTTTGTAAAAAAAAAGACAAAACTATCAAGTTACTTATTTTTTTTTTTATGAATTGATGTTTTATTTATTGAGAAATAATGATTTTGGATGTTCTTTAGAGTGCTGCACCATAATAATTGCAAACTGCCATAATTTTACATGTGCTGAGGGGATTTAGAATTAACTTTTAGTTAAAAAAGTGCAGTATTCATATTACACAACATATTACTTTTAATTTGGATTGTGAACCACGCAGCAGATACTTAGACCAAAAGTAATGTTTAAGTTTATAGTTAGTAGAATAACTTATAGAAAAACAATAAATTAATCAGGTTAGCCAGAACGGCAGAGGGGTTTTACAAAACTCGTTATAACCTCATTAAAAATTGATATAGAATTAGCTAGTAGAGCTATTCCCCGCCTGCTAGCTGTAAGTAAAAAAAATATATAACCACATGCTTTCTGTTTTGCGTGGTGCGAGAATTTTTTTTTTTAAGTGCTAGCATTGCATCTGATGCTTGGTTTTGCCTGTTTGGGTTAAAACCCTGACAGGTCAAAATCCTGACAGTTTAACAAGAACTAGTTTAATGTTGGCCATTTTTTTCAGGATTTTGCCTCTGTCGAGATTCTTATTGTTGAAATTTTGACCTAAACCCATTTTAACATATGGTTCTTTACGCAAGACACATGCTATTAGCAAATAAATTCCGATAGGGTCAAAATCCTGAAAAAATTGGCCAATATTAAACTAGCCCTGGCTAAAATTGTCAGGATTTTGACCCAACCCCATTAGTATTATCCATATTTATCTTTGTTTTTCCCATGACGCATTTCTATTATATTCCCTATGCTAGCAGTAAGTCGTGTTGCTGCACCTTAGATTATATTATATGAGTGCTGGAGAGGGAAAAGGGTGCACTCGTTTTTTTAGTAAATTATTGATCATTTATCCAATTCAGCCCTTCTGATCTATGACATATCGGGCATTAAATATATTTTGAATTTATGACGCTTTACTGAAATGATTAATATAATTTTCAGTGGTTTGCGAAAGTCTGATACACATCAGAAGCTGATAATAATCAATAATTTACTAAAAAAGCGAGTGTGACCTTTTCCTTCATATGATATCAGTTTGCTTTAGTTGTGATAGTTTTACAGTTTCCCGTGGTTAAGCTTACATGATTAGCTTGCTATAATTTAAATAATTATTTTATTGTGATTGAGAGCAATAGTTGTCAAGTTTTGCCGTGGGTCAAAACTTACTATAAGTCAAGTTTTACCATGAATCAAGTTTTACCGTGGGTAAGACTTCATGCAATCAAAATTTTACGGTCAAGTTTTGCCATATTCAAATTTTGCTAACAATTTGTGTGAAAAAATTTTGCTATAAATTGTTTCAATATTTTTTCACGAATAAAATTTTTTTCTAAAAGGACGTTAAATGTTTTAAGTTTAAAAAATGTCAAATAAAAGAGCAAGAACGGCTATTAGTAGCAATTTAAAACGGGAGATTTGCGAATATAGCAATAGTTACCCAAATGAAACACATTTAAACATTGCACAATATTTTAATCAAAAATATTCGGCATTAAATCTTGAACGTTCGACCCTTTCAAAGATTTTAAAAGAAAAGGACAAATGGTTAGCAATTCCTGATAATGAAGCCAATACGGCTGTTTTTCATTATAAAAAAGTGAAATCTCCTTTATTAGATAAAGCCATGCAGTTATGGATTGAGCAGGTTGTAGGTAATCAAATATTTTTGACGGAAGCAATTATTAAAGAAAAAGCAGAGTTTTTTGCCCGGGCATTAGGCTTACCAGACGGTGTATTAAAGTTTTCTAATGGGTGGGTTCATAAATTCAAGAAGAGCAATAATTTGCGAAACTATCGATTACATGGCGAAGCAAATAGTACGCCATTAGAATTACTTCCGGGACAAAGAGCCAAGTTACATGAAATAATTGAAAAATATCCTTTAAATAATGTTTTCAATGCCGATGAAACAGGTTTATTTTTTCGAATGGCACCGCATCAAACACTCGTGTCGCAACCACAATCAGGATGGAAAAAGGTTTTTTTAATTTGTTTTATACTTGCCATAAAACCTACACAAATCCCAAACTTGAAAATAATAGTTGTTAGTTATAAAAAATTAAAATCATCTTAATATTTTATGCATTATTTATTTAAATAAATATCGTTAATAAAGCTTTTGAGTTATTGGTTTGGCCAGAATTTGGTGAATAAACCCAAATTATAATGCTGTCGGACCTTCCAAAACCAACATGCATATTAGACGGATTTTGTATCAGTATTGAAAGGTTATTAGGTTTGAGAACATTAAAATTATTAGATTGATATAACAGAAACAAACTTGGGTGATTAACTTTTTATCAGATTTGACAGGTTATAGGGACGGTTTTGGAAGGTCCAACAGTGGTTTGGGATTTGGGTGGCATGTATTGAGCCCACCGTTATTAATCGTATAGTTTTTAGGATCGCACACGTATTACAGTTAAGCTGGCTGCAAATGCGACAGGAACTGAAAAGTTAAAACCAATAGTAATCGGATCATCTATTGAACCCCATGCTTTAGTCCGCTTAAATTACGATGCATTACCTGTAACATATCGTTCAAATTTAAAGGCTTGGATGCGAACCGATATCTTCTGTGAATGGATCACAACTCTTGATAATAAGTTTCGTTTAGAAAACCGGCATATTTTGTTGTTAGTTGATGGCGCGACAAGTCATTATAATCCTAATGACAATAACAGTCAAGATATGTTAGAACCAGATAAAGAATTGAGTGGTGAAGAGGAATCAAGTAATGAAGAATCAGAAAGTGAAGAGTCAGAAGACAAAGAATCAGAAAGTGAAGAGTTAGATGAAGAAATCTGAGCAAGCTCATCTAAAGCACCTCTTACTCGACGTGGTCGTCCAAGGTTAAATGCTGGTAGCATTAATAAGCAAAAAGGACGAGATTCTTTTCGTGGGCGTAGAAGTGGTCACGGACGTAGGCGTGGAAGTGGTCGCGGACGTGGACACGGACGTGGGCAGAAAAGCAAGGGCCGCCATGGTACTGGTCGTCCTTATATAATTCCGGATCCTTCTAATATTCGTTTAACAAATATCCGAATTGAAGTTTTACCACCCAAAACTACTGCTCACCTTCAGCCGATGGATGCAGGGATTATCTATAGCTTTAAAGCGAAATATAAAAAAAAATATTTACAACATGTAATAGATCAGTTCGAAAGAGGCGAAGATTTAAAAACGTAAGAATATACCCATTTGCCACTGTATACTGTACGTACCCGATGTGATGCAATCTTTTACTTAGAAAAATAACAATCATATGCATTACACATCACACATATATAGTACTGTATTTGGCAGCAAACGGGTAATAAAAATAAAATATTATTTCATATTTGCCCTTTTTATGTACTGTATGTACAATTGCATAAATGGGTGTATATTACCAATTATAGTGTGAAGGGAAAATTTTAAAGTACGTACATACGTACTTTGTATTTATGATAGAAAGTTTAATTACTTGGGACAATTCATAGCGGGCTTACTATCGAATAGATCTTTATACATACACCCAT